AAAATTGGTGTAAAGTGGGATCTACGGACATGTTGGTTCTAATTACGTTGACGGAGAGTCAACGGGTCCGGATCAAGTACTGCAAATGGAAATCTGGCTCCTGAGAGCCACTCGTATCCTTTTCCTTTGAACCATGGTGTTTAAATGCTTTCCGTATATCCGGTATATGTATCTGATTGATTCAACATGAAAGGCCATGATTTTATCCCTATATGTTTGGTACCTCATTGAGCTTAAACTCATCCCTTTCTGTTACCTTTGTTTTCCTTACAGGGAACCACTCTTTGGAACCGTGACTTTGAAGCCTAAGTTGAGCTAGTTAGATATTTTGTATTGCTCCTCAATGGTTGGAAACCCTAATTTTACTTGCTCTTTTGAAAACGAAGCCCTAATTGTATTTTGTGTAGTATGAGTACCTCGGATTGTACTGTATGTTAATTTGTTCAAGACTCCAATGAAAATATATGTAGTTTCCGATTGTTCATTTTCTTTAGATCCTTTCGCGCGTACTATGTTGGATTTGTGGGAATGGACTCCGTAGTCCTGACGAGAGTTGGGCAGGCAGTCCGCCGAACCCTTTGGTTTGCCTTAGGGTGAGGTGGGGCTGTCACAATAATTAGTTTTCATAATCAATCTGTAGAGATCTTGATGAATGAGCTCCCATCCACAGGGTCCATCTCAAGGTTATGTTGCCCAAAGCTACCTTTCTGCTAATTCAAATCTATCTATCATGTGAAATCAAGGGCATATTGTAGGGGTCTGAGATTGATTCATATGTAAGTGTTGCAAGAGAAGATGACTTGAGAAGTGTTTGAATTGATTTAGATTTAAACATGGAAAGTTCCCATATGAAGGATCCAATCCCACTCTTTCTATTTGCATGTCATTGCATTTTATTGGTGATTTGGCAAAGGGAAGGCCAAATCAATAGGAAGACCTGCATTATATGGCTTTTGGTACAGTGTCTTGCTGGTCCATCTGCGTTTCTTCACTACCTTTTGAATTGTAGGAGACAGCATGCCCTGTCATTCTGGTGCCATATTCTAGTCAATCATGCGTTATCTCTGGCACCTCTATTAGGTCGTCAGAATATTTGGATATTTTCCTCAATGAATGTTAATAAAACATGGATGGATGTTGCAAGCTTTTAGCAGCTTTGGTCCAGAGTTATGAGAGTTTGATGCTTTGTTACATACTAGGAGAGGAACACCGCACTATGTGCGGTGTGAAGTTACAAGTTTAACATGCCCAGTAGGAAGTTAAAAGGTTAATATGACCAGAGCCCTCATTGGCTTTATTTTCCAACTAAAAATTATTTTTTTATCATTTTCTATATGAGGTAGATAATGAAGCATTTTGTCAACATTTCAATTAAGAAAAGAAATAATACTAATAAAGTTGAAGAGCATAATCACACATAATTGAGATAAGCTCTCCAATTGTATGATGCATCTCATTAGCTGTGAAAAGTAAAATTTAAGATATAAGATACATTCATCCAGAAATATTAACTGCTATATCTAAAAAATGCCTCTCGACTTTTCTTATCTAGCGTCGCGTTCAATTAGCCAATTATAGTGGAACTATGCATTAGTGGTCAAAATTTCAAAAAAAAAAAAATCATCACACAGTTTGATATCTATACTATAGCAAGTGGCTGTTGAAGTAAATAATGACTTTTGGTAAAGATATTGGAAAGGATAAAACAAAGTATCAAGCATTCATGACAAAATTCCATGAGCTTCCATTAGCTTCCAAGTTCCAGCTATCTAACTATCAATCAGATCTGCCAAGAAGGAATCATATTGAAATTTAATAACATTTTGTGTAAATAGTACAATGACAATCTTGTTAAATCACAGGTAACGCATCCCTAGTTTTTGCCACACTTCATGGCAAAATTGTAAGGAAATACTAAAGCATGAAATATAAAACAAAGTCGCCAAGAACACATTCCCTACTCCTAAGTTTGAACCACCAATATATTTGAATAATACCTCTTGCCATTCAACTTTTTCTCAAACATTAATGTTGGATATATAAATAAAGAATAGAAAGCCAATAAACAGCAGATGCATTTTGAGCCACCATCTTATTTGGATAAATACCTCCTGCCAGCCGATTTTTTCTCAAACATGAATGCTAGGTATAAATAAAGAACAGAAAATCAAAAACAACATATGCATTCGAGCCTATAAATCATGTAGTTATATTTCATTCATGCCACATTTTCGCCAAGACAACATGAATGAACATAGGACATCAATTTAAGCTGAAAGAAAATTTTCTCTTCTTTCTTAAAAAGCTCAATGACAAAACAAAAAGCTCCAAAAAATCAAGCAAAAGCTACAGAGAAATTTCAATATATTAGTTTGGTATTTGTTAGAGTTTATTTTTTAAATCCTGAAACGCAATTTATTCTCTATGTAATTCTTAGATTTTTATTTTCTTTTTTACATAAAGGTATTAGAAAATTCTAGTTGCCTAATTGAGAAAAGGTGGAGAAGCTAAGGAGTAATCACCACCTATTGATCATTCCCCACTATACACAATTTGGCTAGAAATTTAGGGCGGCAATATTTAAACTTACAATTGGGATGGAGCACATGAACATTTTTTTTCTACATACAAAGATCTTATCTTAAGGTTCTTTTAGCCATTTCAGTTACATCATTCCGACTACTCAAACATGAAAGCATTAGGAGGGACAGGACAGCGAGTAACAAAAGCTCCAATCAGCCAATGTACATCATTTTCTTAGAAATTACTACATCTAAAGAGTTATTCAAAAATGACACCATCAAAGTAGAGAAAAAATTTATAATGATTTCATCAGTAATCATAACTTAAAATGAAATAGGGTGAAAACAAATGCTATTAAACCTGGACTAAAGATCTTAAATGAATGGAGCAGCCAAAGAAGACTTGCAACCTCTTAGTGATGAATTTACTAAAATAGGTAAAATACTAAAGAAACTGACTCTAAATCAAAAGGAAATGCAGTATCTTCACAAAATTTCATACTCCACTTTTTCCAAGAATAGTAAATAGGGTAAAGTGACCAGAAAATTATAGTAAAATGCTAAGAAAAAAATGAAGAGAACACTAAAACATAAAAAACATACCATTAAGGCTAAATGGAAAAATTAGCCTCCTTTTTGCTTTGTTCCTTCATCTAACAAAAATTTAGTATAAATAAATATCAGAAAAATCAAATTTATTAGGAAAAATAAAAGGAAAAATGAAATCATATTAACTTTTCTCTATGGGAAAAAGACAGAGAGTCGATACAATGCTCACCTTGAGAAAAGAATTCGCAAATCTTAACATCTCAAGCTACAACAAACATTTGAAACTTATGAGAGAGCATAAATAATTAATATCTATCATAGGATATGTGAGACCACAGTAAGGAACAAGAAAATGACAATAAAGCATAAGGATTAGCATGAAGTGAAGAAATTGTGTTTCCCAATTAATAACCAAACATTAAGCACTAAACATCTAAAATGCATTTCCAAAATTTCACATCCAGTTCATACCGATGCAATACTTTTTCAAGTTGAATATATTCCTTTTGTAATAAAATCCAAAAGCATAACATGCAAAGGACACAAAGGAAGGGAGAAAGGTGATTTGTTGCTTTTAGCCAATGAAAGATCAGCAAAAAAAATGCCAGAAAAAAAAAACCAAAGGCAAACCTGAAGTGAACATTTTGCCAAAAACTGAACTATTCTTTCTTTCTTCAAGATATGCATTAGTCTTCATTAGTCTTCAAGATATGCAAATCATGTCGATCTAGGTAATAAAAAAACAAAACAAAATATTAACAGATCATGATATGTTTAGCGAGTTAAGGAGACTTGCCTGTTTTTTTTGGAACACCCTTTTATTTCCTCTTTTTAGAGGCCGAGGGAGATTTTTTGTGGCTTCCAAAAGAAAAAAAAAAGAATTATACAGAAAAGTTATGGCAAGCAAAAAAGGAAGAAATTATACATAAAAAAGGGAAGGGGGGAAGGATTGGGTTGGGTGGTACGGGGGGAGGGAGTGTAAGCAAGAGGTCTCGGGTTCGAGTCCTCCTGTTTACACTAAAAAAAAAAAAAGGGAAAACAAAGGTGAGAAGATAAAACCTGTGAGTAGTCAGATGAAAAAATAGTGAGCGATCTACAAGATCACACAAAAAATTGTGGTCCAAAAAAAAGTAATAATTGATGGTCAAGGATGCAAGTAATAATGCATCAGAAAATGCATGTCAAGGATGTACAAATTAAAGGATAGAATATAGAGAAAAGGGTAAAAGAAAAGCAAAATTAGAATAACTAACCAGTGTGTATGAACAAGTCCAACACCGCACAACTGAATAATAGCACGATCATGTAAAAGATAATAAGAAAGGTGACAAAAAAACAGGAGAGTAAAAAGAGAAGCTGATTCGGTGATAATAATTTTGAAGGGACAGAAAAAAATTAAAATGGTCGAACCAGTGCTTGAGAAAAATAGAGAAGCAAGCAAGAAATAAGAAACAAAGCAGTATGATAGCAATTCCGAAATATTTGAAGAATTAGAGAAAAACAAAGGAAAGCAAAGCGTAAAACCAACATGCTCACCAGGAAGCAGCAACGGCAACACCAGCGCAAACTAAAACCAAACCAATAAATTGGGAAGAAGGAAGGTTCAAAATAGCTAAAGAAAAATGAAGAACAATACTTATGAGGTAGGTCTTTCTTTCTAGCAAAGAAACAAGAGCAATAGAATAGGGAAAAGAAAGCAGTAGATGTATCGTTACCACTGATCATGATGATGATCAGTAGAAAATCTGGTGTGGAAAGCCAGAGAAACTGCATAACCATTGTGCAAATGCAATACACAAAACAATGTCAATCAACGGGAGCAAAAGAGCTGATAGTTGACAACGGGGAAAAGTTATTTTTTTGCAGATTTACAGACATAACCCAAGTAAAGGACAAAAAGACTACAAGAGCTTTTGAGTGGAAGCGTAAATGCAGTCAGAAGGGATGGGTAATATAGTGAACAGCTCAGGTACAATCAACCGTCAACAAAAAGAGGCTGATGACAAGAAGTGTGAAGCGGCGGATGAAGAAATCGAGAAAGTATGCATCAAAACCAAACAAACAAAATACCGGCTACAAACAAATGGTCCATAATTAATTGCAAAGAATTGGTAATTAAGCATGTTAATTTAGAAAAGTAGTTAATTACGAATCAATTAATTAAGACCACCAAAAGCAAAGAAGAAAAGACTAATGAGAAGCGTTTTCTGAAGCTGGAGCAAGGTAGACATATTAATTAAATAACAATTAATTGCAACAAATTGGTAATTAATTGCGATTTGTTAGGCAACAAAAAAGTAACGTTATTAATGAATTAATTAACAATTAATTGTTAAAAAAGGAAACCAAATGTGATTTGATTGGCATGCAAAAAAAAGAGGCTAAATTTTGGCTAATAACTACACAGAATTGGTAATTAAAAGCGATTTGTTGGGTAAAAAAAATATTAATAATTATAAAAACAGGTAAGTAAATGTGATTTATCAAGCAATAAAACTGCGAAAGTATAACTTAATTTCGGTGAAATTAATTGCAAAAAAATTGTAATTAAACCTGATTTGTTGGCCAACCCAAAGTAAAAGAGGACATTTTTTAATAAATTTTAAAAAAAGGTAATTAAATGTGATTTTTTGGACAAGCACACAAAAGCTCATTTTTTGTTAATAATTGCAAGAAAGTTATTAATTAAACGTGATTTGTTGGGTAAAAAAACGACACTATTAATTAGTTATTAACAATTAACTGTAAAAAATTGGTAAGTAAATGCGATTTATTGGGTTAAAAAAATGGAGCCAAAATAATAAATAAATAAATAAATAACAATTAATAGCGGGGAATCAATAACAAGCTGCCATTTTGACGTCCAATAACAAGCAGTTCCAATAACTGGCACGTCTTTTTTTATGGCACTTTCAAGCACAAGCACTTCCAATAACAAGTTATGTTAGTATAATAACTGGCAATGCCATTTGGAAGTGCTTGTTATTGAGCTGCCATTTTTTTCCAATAACAAAGCACTTCCAATCCAATAAAAAAAAGAAAAGGAAAAAAACCAAAGGCACGTGGGGCCAGAATTTAGCGGCAGACTTCCAAGCCAGACGTCCAAGCAAAACAAAGAAAAGAAACAATCGGCTGGACGACCAATTCACGCGAGCGAATTCACACGAAGCAGACGACCACCAATCGACCAATGGAAGCCCGCCACGTCAGCAATCAGAACTCGATTGAAAACCTCCCCATTCCCGCATAGACTAGATATGTTAACTAGTCAAGCGGTCAGTCTTTTACATGCTTGTAGTACAAGTGTTCATTAAATTGCTTCAGTCGGTTATGCTACTACTTGGTGATTATGAATTTTTTTAAATTTTTTTTCCAGTATTAATCCCAGAGGTTACTCTTTGTGTCTTTTCCGTGCCCCAATATTTGAGGGGATATTGACAATAACACTTGGGGGTATTTGTTTCACAGATTGGAATCGGAAATGGAAATGAAATCATAAACTTTGATTTTGGAATTAAACTTTTCATTCCAATATCTAACTTTGTTCACACATTGAAATTAGCATCATTCCAATTCCTGATGCTTGGTTTGATGAATGTTTCGGAATTAAATGCAATTAAATTCCAAATTTACCCCTGATATAACAATTCTTGAATAAATTCCCAAAAAGAGGGAGTTTTCAAACTAACTTCCCAAAGGGTTTTTAAAAATTCAAAAAGTGTTACAGTAATTTCTTACCATAAAAAAAACTAGTAGGTTATCTATTTAACATAAATTAAATATTTTTTTAAAAAAATATCCCATAAAGTACCAACTCTTTATGGCTTGTCTCTATTACATGAACCAAATACCAGGTTTTTATGGGCATTTTATTTTGAATCATTTAATTTATGTTAAATACATAAATGTTTGCAAATAAAATTTAAAAGCCGTTACACAAATATTTTTACGAAAGGAAAACTAGCATGTTTTGTATTTAATATAAATGAAGTATTTGAAAGTAAAAAAAAATTGTCCATAACATATCAGTTCTTTACGAGTTTCTTTCATTATATGAATAAAGTACTAGTTATTGATGAGCATTTTACTTTCAATCATTTAATTTATATTAAATACATAAATGTTTATAAGTGAAATTCAAAAAGTGCTACACGAATATTATTACGAAAGGGAAACTAGTAGGTTTTGTATTTTACATAAATTAAATACGTGAAAGTAAAAAAAGAAATTATCCACTCTTTACGGGTTTCTTCTATTACATGAATAAAGTATTAGTTATTTATAGGCATTTTACTCTGAATCATATAATTTATGTTAAATACATAAATTATATGTAAAATTTAAAAAGTGATATACTAATATTTTTACGAAAAGAAAACTAGCACCATTTTGTATTTAACATAAATTAAATACGGGAAAGCAAAAAAAAAAAAAAGAAATTGCCCATAACATATCAGCTCTTTATGGGTTTCCTCTATCACACGAACAAAGTAATAGCTATTTCCTTGGGTGTGTTTTTCATCCTTTGGGAAGAGACTCAAAAATCCATCCTTTGAGAAGTTCATTTAAAAACTCCCTCTTGTTTCATATATCTGAACCTCTTGTTTAATTTAAAAATCGCCACCATCATTCTTGTCTGATATATCTGAACCTTTCACATTTTTACCAGTTTTTAAATCTCCCAGAACCTAAAAACAAAATCCCAAATCGATAACAATGCGCGTAAAACATTAAAAAGTTAACATGAAAATTAAATCTTTATTTACCTCTAAATCAGAAGCCTCAGAAGGGTTGATAATGAGTAAGGCCAGAAATATTGTCCCCTCCCATCTTTTAGTTCTCAACTTAACCCCAACTTAATCCCAACTTAACCCCTCCTAGAATAAGTTATAGTAGGAGTAGGTGTAAATGATGATAATTGACAAAAAAAAAAAAAAAAAAACCTCATTAAAGACCAAGTGGAAAATTTATTAGCATCAGATTAAAATATGCCAGTGTCTCTCCGTGTAGCAATTCTCTGTCTACTTCATCTTCTACATCTACTTGTAAGAAATTTGGGAGAGACGCCTTATTCTGTTTCCAGAAAATTTATCCGTGGAATTATATACTTTTCTGATTTCAATTTCTTTTCACTTCTAGGTGCAAGTGCTCATATTGTTTAATAAGGCCACATGCAATCAAATTTAGGCTTTCAAAATGATTATTGTGCTACCAATGTCTAGAAATTGATTTCTGAATCCATTCCACATTTTTGTATTTGCAGAGGTTATGGCTGTAATGGTAGTTAAGGTATGCCAGCCAATAATGGAATAGCAGCCGCTGAATGTGAATGCAGCTATAGACCATTTTGGTATCCTAAATCTTGTTGGTTTAACAAATCAAATAATGTTTTTACAAATCTTGCCATTGATTATGGCAGTTGTTCAGTTGTATATACTGGACTAACCTTTAATCTTACTACCTCTTCAGCTATTAGCAACATTGAGGCAAAAAGTATGATTAACTTTACAATTGTTATACTCCGTCTAGATTTATATATATGAGGTCTAATATAATTCGCAGCATTTGGTATTTGTAAAGATTGCTTGTTGCTGTGGTAAATTTCATAAGAATTCTGCTTTGCCAAGGTGAATATTTTTGCTTTATTGGTTGGTTGGTGTCTGCCATTGTTCTGGTGAAGGAATTTGCGTCTTCTGTCTCTTTGTTTTTTAGTGATATTGTTCTTGGTACTTGAATTTTTGGGGATTGCCTTAGTTTATGGCTCCGTATTTTGTTGGTTTCTTTTAGGGTTAAAAACAAAAAAAAAACCCTGTGGTATACCTATTACACAAAAAAACCCCTTATGATTTTAACATATACAAAATGACACCTCATGTTTTGAACTAAATGGTAAACTAACAGAATTCGTTAAATTTAACAGAATCCGGTAAACGTAACGAAAAATTTAACGGAATCCGATAAATTTAACGGTAAATTTCATGGAATCCGGTAAGTTTAACAACCGAAACCGTAATTTTCGTTAAGTTTAACGAATTCTATTAGTTTACAATTTATTTCAAAACATCTGGTGTCGTTTTGTATGTTTTGAAATTACGTGGAGCTTTTCTGTGTATTAGGTATACCATATGGGATTTTTTTGTTTTTAACCCTTTCTTTTATTTGTGATTTCATATACTTTGGGTTGACTTTATCCAAGTATTGGATAGTTCGAAGAGTTTAATGTTGTTTGTTTTCGTATACTCAATTATTATATACGACAACAATAGAAAGATTAGCAATCTTTTTCTTTCTATTTGTTGGATTAATGTTAGATCTGCATTGATTATGAATAGATAAGAAGTAATGGTTAATAAGATTCTAATATTATTACTAATATCTTTGGCATTCCATATCCTAATCTATTAATTTAGAGGAAATTCAATGTTCTCCTTCTAAGATTATTCTTTTCTAGCTATCTTGGTTCTTAGCCTGTGCAATTGTGCATAGTACCAGGTTGTAGTTGGTTGATGTTTCTGTAAACCTATACAAATTCAATGTCATCAGCAACACTAACGCCATGCTGAATAATTTAATTTAGTATTTAAATTTAATGAGTTTAGATCTTAACATGTTCAAATACGTTTAATAACTAAAAATAAAACATTTTAATTAATTAACTGGTACTGAATTTTCATGCAAAATTTGTTTTCAAAAATAAATTATGAATTATTTACTTATCATTTAATATGATGTATATTCAATTATATCAGATTTGATACTTAACAATTTAGTAATTTAATGGATTCGAATTTCAAATTTCAATTTTATTATATGCGTCTTGAAGTTCAAATCCATGTAAGATTATGCCTGATTCACTTTTGCAAGCCAATTTGTCTTCTTTTTTTTTTTTTTTTGGCAAGCCAATTTGTCTTGTTTTCGGTCAGGTCTGCAATTGAGATGTACTTGGCTGTTTTGACCTGCAACTAGAGTGGTCTTTGTAACTCAATGAATCCTATCTTCTTGTCAGTCACGTCTGCAATTGTACGACAAATCCCTTAGGCTGCTATAATATATGTTCCAATTTGTATCCCACTCCCAACAAACTAGTTATATACTCATCTTTTTTGCATCGTGAATTATTTGCATAATTTTATTCACTTATAATATTAATATATTTTTCAACCATTTTTTTATTTCACATACATCATATGAAAAAGAGTAAAAAACTTAGGGAGCCCTTAAACTATCACCATTGTCAAGTTCTGGCCCCCGATCTAATTTTTATCTTCGATGAACCCCTGAATAATTAAAAATGCATAGTTTAAGTGCTTCCAATCATTTTATACCGAAGTCAAGCCGGAATCAAAGGGCAATTTCGTCCAACTATAATTGAAACATCAGGACCAGAATTAGCATTAGATCCATTAGACAAGAATTCTAACAAAAAAAAAAGCATAAGATCTTCACCTTGAACCCTTTTAGATCCATTAGACAGATTTCTAATAAAAAAGCATTAGACCATCTTCACCTTGAACCCTTTACCAATAATCTCCTTGTACCTAAAGATAGAATCCAACCTTTGCAAGCAAAAGCTCTACTAGCGGTGTGGGGAACAACACAGCGGCTAGCAACCCAGCCAATCAAGCATCTTGGTGGTAGTGGTAGCGGAAATAGCATGGGTGGTATTGGAAGCATTTCTACCATTGGAAATCATAGTTGGCATGCTTCTCGTGATGGGGAATGCTCAGGACTTTATCCACAAAGCCAGCCATGGCTGGCCGAAGCACATCGATAACGACGTTTGGGATGTGGCCATGGAAAGACGGGACAAGAAGCTCATGGAGATGCTATCCTCTTCTTCTACTCCTAATTAACAATCTAACTCAGGAAGCACTATGACCTATCGGTGAATTTTTGGATCTCTTCATGTTTTGCAAGCATTGAAGTTGTAAGCAGACAAGTTGAATTGTTGTCTTCCTTTTGCAGCTCACTTTAAGCTTTTGAACTAAAAAAAAAAAAAAAAAGGAACAAACTATTGATGTTGATTGTCTGGATTTGGTGGATGATAAAATAACTATAGACGTTTGAGTAATAATAATAATAACAAATCCAGCTTCCGCCACTTCAACAATTACTTAAACCTGTAGATGAAATCATTAGCTGGAGAGAGAGATATATACTTTTCTTGATACTTCAAATATGGTTGGACAATAATGTCATTTGCTTCCGGCTTGACTCACACATAAAATGACCGGAAGCACTTAAACTATGCATTTTTTATTGTTTAGGGGCTCATCGGAGACAAAAATTAGATCGGGGGCCAAAACTTAACAACGGTGATAGTTTAGGGGATCCCCAGATCTTTTACTTTATGAAAAAAAAGTGTTGCACTATTTTTTCAAAAAATTATCACAAATAATCTACCATATAAACATAATTATTTTTTTTTTCCCTATCAATGTGGGGATCCAGTGTACCACGAGTATCACATAAAAAAAATAATTGCCAACAATTATTTTTGAGATTTTCTTTACAGGTTACTATTAGTTAAGACTTGCCTTTTTAGATAAAACATTTTAAGTAAAAAAAAATGCATGAAAGCAATTAAAATATCTGCAGGCAAAGATTTTAATTCAAAGCATATACAAATTTGATTCTGTTCATGGGCTATTGTGATCCTGGCGATCTCTGTAGGATCTCTTAAAATGAAATGGATGAGCAGGATGGGCAAAGGCAGATCTGGGAGGTGGGACCACAATGATTGAGAACCCCAACATCAAACATAAAATATAATGCAGAACAATATGTGGGAGCTAGGATGGGAATGTATTAGTTAAACAACAATAAACAACTTGACAATTTTCAGATTGCATTCTTGCATGCAATCATTTTCTTAGACCCCTTGATTGGGAAAATTGCTTAGAAAATGCTATTGGTTTGTTAAAGTTGTACCTTCTCCGTCTCCATGACCTCTCAAACTCAATTTTTACATGTAAGTTGGACCAAGTGGGGGTGGTCGGATTCGAAGTACAGTAAAATCTCTAAAAATTAATAGTTTTGGTATCATATAAATTCTATTAATTTAAAGAAGTATTAATTAATTCATAAATTAATAAATGCAAATATGAATATAAAATTTTTTTATAAGAGTATGAATTATTCTATTAATAAAAGAAGGCTAAAAGTCTAAGAAGTATAAACCAATTCATATGTACTTGATTTGCAAGTATAATTTAATTCTATTAATATCTTCAATATATGTATATAACAGATATCATTTTTCTATTAGCAAGAGGTCAAAAAGATTTAAAAATACTAAATTATAGATGTCTACTTCATATAATGAATCAAATTAACTTCAATATGTATAAAAATGACAGGGAAGTTTTCTTATAATAAACAAGTTCAAAGTTTTCTTACATATGTCATTGTTAAACTATGGCTTTGCATCTAAAAGGTGTTCATAAATCAATAATAGACTCATATTTTATGAAAAATATAATATGTATGTTAGTGAATTATATTAATTTATGATATGAATGGAATCAAAGAGTTACATAAGGTTTTTCAAAAAAAAATTATTATCTTATTATTAACTTATCAAAATTATTAATTTAGCGCGTTACCACAAGTTGAGACTGAAAAAATTATCATTTAATAAAGGAAATTAATTTATAGAGATTTTACTATAATAAAGTTACATTTTGAAGAAATTTTTTGAAGGACAATGCAGCGGAGGCTGCACCATGCAAGTGTGTGTGATAAATGTCTAGGGTGAAAAATAAAAAAACCTTCCGAGATAAGTCTAATACACAGAAAAGCCCCTTATGATTTCAAAATATACAACACGACGCCTCATGTTTTGAACTAAATTGTAAAGGTGACGGAATCCATTAAACTTAACGGAAATTATTTATTGGAACCTAAAAAAAAATTTATATCTAATTTTTATCAAATATACCTATTCTACCCCTTAACCCTCAATTCTCTCTATTTAGAGAATAAAACAAATGATTTTTTTGAGCTATCTTTTGCTTAGTATATCAGGCATTTATCACAGGGGATTTTTTTATTTTTTACCCAAAAGTCTATAGCAAATTAAAAAGTGTGACAAAAGTCATCTAAAGTTTTAACCTAATTTGAGATCGTGGCTTCAAAATTAGTCCCACCCCTTCTCTTTCCAATCTATGCAAATGTTTAAATGGGCTTTTTATGAGATTTGTTTTGAGAGAAGAGTTTTTGAAAAATTATTTTAAGAAAGGAATTTGTGCCTGATATTCAAGGAAGTACATGTGTATATATATATATATATATATATATCAATTTATGGCATCTTTTTACTTGCAAAAACTAGGTACTTTTGACTTTTGAGTGACCTGTGTAGTTTTTTTTTTCCTATCCTTCCACCCATTTTCACATTCTTCCCATCCTTAACTGTCACACCCAAAATTCAAACTCTAAATCTGAAAGTTGGCCACTGGATCAACCCTAGTGGTTGAGTGACTCGTGCAGTTAATCATAGTTCTCTCTCTTTTTTTAAGTAGGGAAGATTAATTTACTGATTTGCATAAACACCGCGTTTAAATCATTGATGTCCTACTCTAGTTTTCGTATGTGCTTACTTAGCATTATATCCTACATATACGAGTCCTTTATTTTTATCAATCTCTGATATCTTTTTTTTTTTTTTACATATTTCATTAATTTTGGATATTTTTCTTTTAAGGTTTTGAGTTACTCGCGTTTTGTATCCTCTTTTGATGTAAATTTTGGAACAAATATTGATGTTTCTCTTATTTTATGACTTGATGAATCCATTATAAAGTGTATAATTGGTAATTTTAGAAATTACAAAATAAAAATTAGGTTGGCGAGTGTGGGGTATGCATATAACAATTAAACTCATTCCACAATCAAGTTTTACATTTATAAAGTTCTAAATAACCCACATGGGATTTTCTTCAAATATACAGGTCATGATTAAATATAGGATATTAAGGGTCGAATTCACAGGGAAGAATATCAATTACCGATGGTTTTTGAATTGTTTTATTATTTAGAATATCACAAGTGCAAGAAATTAAATATATACTATAAACATGAGATAAAAGTAATACAAATAACAATAAAAAACTCCTAGAGGTATGGAATTTCTCACTACTTTTGCAAATGAAATTACCAATTGAGTGAATGCTATTATCTTAGCTAGTTATGGTGTAATTTTCTAATGTATGTGAAACCTACTCTCGTAATGAATCAACTATACTTGTAACTAAACTATACCTACTCTTGTGGTTATGAAATTAACTACAAGTTTATTTCTTTTATGAAATTATATAAAACAAGTCACTAAAACCACAAAGGTGCTCCTCTATTCTCGTGAGTGAACTCCTAAGTTTAGCACTTTCTTGAACTAGTGTTAAATCCCAATTCTCATTTTAAACTTAACACTTTAAGATTATCACAATTATTGGGCGGTTAATCATGATTAGTAAAGCAAAAGTGATAAATGACTTGTTTAAAATAATATCACCAAATAAACATCACTAGCAAGATATAGAAAGTTCATCCATAATTCTAAACATAAACTTTAGCAAAACATGAAAGAAATGACCCTACTTCTATTATAACTAAACATAAGATTCAAATACAAGAGTTAAAGAGATGAAACCCCTTGTCACATGTGAGCAATATCTTCTCTATCTTCAAACCTCAATCATCATCCTTGCTTAGCATAATACAAGATAGAATAAAACTATACTAACCTATGTAAACTAATGAATTAAGAAAAATTAGTGAAGATTACATTTTGGTAGTGTCTCTAGTCTTCCAAAAGATATCAAATAAGTTCAACAAAAGCCCTATTTATAGAGAAATTAAAGCTCAAGATCAGTTATTTCTAATTGGCAAATTTGCCTCTTGAAACATCCAAAGGTTATTTCTATAAGTTTCCATGCTTGTTTGCTCATATCCAACCAGATTTCTTGCAAAAAAATGGATCAAAAAGCTTGTATGAACAAAACACAAATTGCAGCCGCAATTGAAGAAAATCCAGGCTAAGAAAATACAGGCTAAGGTCGCGTATTTACCCCACATTTTTCTCTTTTGCAGGTTTTCTCATTTCTAGTCCGTCTTTAACTTTTCTCTGTTTTTTTAACAACTTCAACTGAAAATTTCTAGAGGATAGAGGCTGAACTAACTCTTGTGCAAAACATAAAAGTTGCAGTTCTTTGAGTTAGCTTTCACTGCTTTAAGAATCATCCAATTTGAAGCTCGGTAAACTAATTAATGACCAACATACCCTTGATTGGTCACAACTTTATTTCAGCTTTCGATAACAAAAATGACCAACAATATATTTGATATTTTGACTAGCAAAACTCATTACTTGAATTTTAGTGTCTCATAAGAAATGTAGAGCTATGTGTTAGCTTAAAAATGGCTCAAGAATGATCTCAATTTGATATGTGTAGCTCAGGATATAGTTGAAATACCAACAGCTGTCAAAGTTGTCAAACTTTTCCTCTTTTATTCTTGATTGCATTTCTTCTTTTGAGTATTTGGCACTTTATATTTTTTTTAAATTACTTCAAATCATCAATAATCATCCAAATATCTTCTCACTTAACTTCATTTGACGATTTAATCATTAAACCTAAAAAAATTTGAAATTTTCATCACTTTAATCCATAGAAATGCAATTTTTGACACTTAAATCACAAAATGCATAACTTGACTAGAAACTTAGTTCATTAACTATAAAAGTGAATAAAACATATCAAAACAAAATAATAAAACACACTTAAATCATTCAAAATATACACTTATCACAGGTCAAAATTTTGGTTGAACCTAATAAAGAAAATGGGTTGACTTTGGTTTGAGCTTAAAACTTAGACCCGATTCCGAAGTGAGCTAAGCTGAACTGATACCAAATGCAGCCAAATTTAGGATCGACTTAAATATTAAGCACAAAAAAACTTATACATTATTCTATGGTGCAGAGTATAAAA